CCTGGCTTTCAGCACCTCTCACCTTTCCCCCTTCCAGTCCCCTCCCTGCCTGCCCCCGGCCCCAACGCAGCGCAGCGCAGCGCCAGGGCAGGGGACGCACACCAGACGGCCGGGCCCGGCGGGGCGACTCGAAGCTCAGGTACGGTTCTCCCCGCTGGCAGGGGAAAGGGCCGCGGGCCATCCCTGCGTTTGCAGCTCCCGCCGGACCCCGAGCCCTGGTGCACAGCTGGGTCGGGCAGGAGCCGTGCCAGCTGTGCCCGCATGGCCTGAAGCAGCAAATGGGAGCACAACGGAGCATGCTGGGGACGGGGGTGCAGGGAGAGGGTAGCTGGGAGCCGGGGGTCATTCAGGCCCAGCTGAGTTGAATGCCCTGCTGTTTTCCCCCCGTTTCTTTGCACCGGCTCCCCTGCCCCAAGCCCCCTGCAGGCAGCGGGTGGGAATACAGCAGGGCACTGACCTGAGGGCGTGCCGGGGGCTCGGGGTGGGGGTTGTGCAGGGAGAGGGGGGGACATAACTTGTTCTCCCTGCCCTTGGATCAAGGGTGGGCAATTACTTGGGCCAGGGCGCCACTTAGGGAGTTTTGGTGAGCTGTTGCAGAGGGGGAGTGGGGGAAGGGTTGTTGCCTCACTCCGCAAGAGGTCTGGATCAGACCAACAAAAGATATGACCCACAAAGTCCTTGCCTCTTGCATATTTCCTGGACCATCATCAACATCATTCCAGCAGCACCAGGAATGATCAGTGGTGCTGAACCTTCTGGCCCCCATGACAGGCTGGATGAGTGGCGAAAAAACAATCTGTGCCACCAGATCCCGCAGACAGGGTCAGTCTGCAGGCTGGATGTAGCGTGGGGTTGACACGGGGGTTGGTTTACAGGTACGATTCCACACCCACATGCGGCCAAGGCCTGGCTACACTTGTCAACTGGCCCCACACGCTGGATCCAGCCTCATCTCAGCTCCACACATCAGCCCAGCCCAGCTGGATGTGGCTGCAGCCTGGCCTGTAGCAATTATTCTGGAAGCTTCAGCAGTTAATGCTGCAACTGCTCCCCTGCCACAAATTTCTGGACCTATGGGGAGTCCTATGGGTTGCATGACACTGCCTCATTGGCTGGTTTTGGCCTACAAGCCAGAGGCTGAGCACCACTGACCTAGACCAATTGCAGTTTGCCTGTAGCTGAAATGGTAGGACCTAGTACTCTTGGAACTGAAGTAATATGTCCCAGTTCCACCTTCCTGAATCTCTCATCTTGTATAACTAACTACTGAATGTAATCTGGAGACCCAGATTCATTGTGCATGTCTCCACACCTACATATGGGTATTTCCAGCAGAGGGCAGCACAGGGCTATCAATGTTGTAGTTTCATAGACTGTTAAATAATTGTTTTCAATATATTATATAAAGGTTCCCATTATACAGGAGAAAAGTGCTCCTTTTACCAAAAGTACACCAGTGATCAAGGAGGGTTTTGAAATCATATGGCAATATCGCGGGTGCCACCGCAGTTTGGGCTTCTCTGTTCTCTGTGGATACGCTACTGAGTCTTATATTGCCATGGTTGGGCTGCAGTTTCCTTCCAACTGTGATCTTCCCTGACCAGGCGATAAGGTGCTTCTGACCTATCTTATCCCCTCTCCCACTTCTTTACTTGACCCCAGTCCTTTCATGATGCTTCAGTTTTTAAACAGTTTAATCTCTGTTCACGGACATGCTACGAATGATCTTTTAAGTAGGGTAGGTAAGAGCAGGTTCTCAGTTCTGAGAGTGGTGATAATGAAGGGATTTATCTTATCTTTGCAAAAATTATACCCTGGAGCCTTTATGTGGTATTAGCGGATCTCTTAATACATCTGATTAATTCAAATCTCTTGTTAACGGTGACCTGTGAAAGGAAAAATGTTAGGCTTGCTGCTTACCCTGCTCGTGCATTCTATTTAGAGGTGACCTAGAAGCATTTTCCGTAGTGTTTTACAGTAGAAATACCTGATTTCCAATCTGATTGAGCTGTTTTGTTTTTGTTGGAGGAGTATGCGGATGCTTGCAGAACAAGTAGGCTAGCTAGCACCATAGGTAGATTAAGTTACCGGCTGGGGGTACAGGAGATCTGGGTTTAAATCCTGGTTGGGCCAGAATCTCTGAACAAGCTTGGATACGTGTTCCGTCTCTCTGTGCCTCAATCCTGTACCATAAAATTAGTTAAACTTACTTTGAATTGTGCAGATTTGGTACCTTGGTGCCAAATGTGCTGACTGGTCCAGTAACTGGGTGCTCCTCTGGAAATCTTCCCTTGGATGTGGCTTTCACATAATGATGGCTACAGTAGTATAAATGTGTTACCCCAGGATGAAAATGTTTCAGGCAAGTAAGGCAAATCCTTAAACCAGAGTAACTTTGCCCAGTTCCAATGAATCAAAGGTAAAACCACCCATCAGTCACACTGGTGTGGTTGTCATCTACATGCAGCTTATTCTAGGATAGCTGTTTACTCAGTGCAAACAAGTGATTACGTGCTTCATTGCTAACTAATGAAAAGACTCAATAACAGAAACACAAACACAGTTCAGGCTACCCCAAAATAAGCTGCACATATGTGCATTACAAACCCCAGTGTGCTGCACACAAGTGTGTGAAATGTGCATGAGTTAGACCAGGGTATATACCCACCATTCTGTCCACACTCTGATAAAAATATTTATTACATTTTTAATCAAGGGTCCATAGCCCATAAGCTTCTGCTTTATCATTAACTAAGGGACTTAATCTATTTTAAAATGAACTAAACATAAAATATCACCTCTTTAAGACATGCCCTGTAACTCCTGGAATATGGGGAAAGTCTTATCTTTTTAATTTCCGGGTAAACTTGCTCATACTTTCCCTTTTAACCCAGATGGGGCAGTGGCCATAAATAGTTTTATTTTACGATATTCATTTTTTAATGGACAGCCCCTATTTGAAATCATCAGTTAAAAAAGTCTGCTAACAAGTTTTTCTTAGCTCCTTTTCCTCATCTCCCACTTCCACAGTACCTAGGAGCTTCATCCTGCAAACTCTTTTTGTGGGCAGCTCTCCACAGTCTTACAGAGCTCTTTTGAAGTCAATGGACTTCTGCCTAGGTCTGCTTGCTAACAATAATACACAGGATTATGCGCACCTTTATAATGCTATCCTGTCCTCTTGGGAGATTTAAAAGCCTGAGGGTGTGAGAAACAAAATGCTGAAATATGTATAGCAGTTCACAGAAGTCAGCATACTGAGGCTGCAGTATTCAACAGGCTAACCAGGAGTAAGTTCACTGTCTTAACTATAAACAAGCTGTGAACACATGATGCGACTCTTGAATGATGAAGCCCTGTCCCAAACTGTGGCAAATATACCCTGTGTGTGAATCAGGGAGAGGTTTTCACATCCCTTTGAGGACTTTTCTTTTCCTGGTGATCCCATTGCTTTTTCAGACTGCCTGACCTGCTTGCTTGTTCATAGCTGTCCTGCGGTGTTTTGCTCTAGGAGGATGCCGTGGGCGACACCTTGAAGTTCTTGTGCCATTGCCTAAACTGGGATTGCCTGGGGTTTCCAATACACTGTACCAAGGAGAGCAGTGTGATTTTTTTTTTTTATTTTTTTTTTATTTTTATTTATTTATTTTTTTTTAAGCCCTGTCTTTTAGGTGGCTCCTTGTAGCCCAGAGTTTCGCACCTATCTATGATCAGGTTCACAACCTTTCTTTCAAGAACCAAAGAGTAGTCAGACAAGGTTTTTTGGGTAAATCTGATACCTTTTATTAGACCAACTCAAATAGTTGGAAAAAAATTCTTAGCAAGCTATCGGGCACCAACACCCTTCATCGGGCTAAGGAAGCATCTGCAGATGGTCCTGCTCCTCCTGGATGGAGCAATAAAGCAGCCAGAGGCCCATACATATGCAAGAAAGAGTAGTCAAGTCATTAACAACCCAGCAGACAGAAACAGTGCTCCCAACCCGGTAGGTAAGTGGTTAAGGCACATGCTCCAGATTAAGTCCCTATTCTGCTTGAAGGGGTTTGTACTTGCATTTCCCAGGTGAGTGCTTTTACCCCCAGCCCGCAGGATATTCTGGGATGGAACTCTTCCA